AAACCACTTAAGGCTACATCTATTTAGCTGTAAAACAATAAATAAAATACCAACTTAAGTGCTAATATTTTAATTAAACAATGCTGCCGCTATTAACTAAAGAAGATGGTAATAAACTTTACCTTTTTAAATCTCGAACGAGCCGAGTGGACCGATACCGATCAAAACTCCAGTTTAACAATACACTTCATCCCTTATTAATTATTTTATTGTAAGCATAAAGGATGTCGTAATCGTCAGAATAATAATATCATCGTGCCGCATAAAGAACCCCAAGTAGCGACAACACAAGCGTAAAAATGACACGCCGTGCCACCAATATGTTTGTGTGTAATATTAGATTTATTCGACTGGGTCACGCATACAAGCGTAGGCAGGCTACCCCGAAGCGGAGTGCGCTCCGATACTCCGGTGTGGGGGCAACACTAGCACAAGCGCAGGGCTGCCGCCCGCCAGATGGTCACGCACACAGACGCGTTGCGAAAGGGAAAGCTACACTGTGTAAACAAATCGCGGGAGCGAGTGCCGTCCCTCTCGGTTACAAAGCCCGTGTGTGTCACATCATTGTGTGCTGTCGACGCGATCCAACGTAGATCGTTCTGTGAAATTGCCAGGTAATAGGCCGAGGGACTATAGCATTACACTTACTTATCGGTGGGTTTAGACGCTCAACGGCCTAATCGAATTGAATATAGACGACGTATTGACTTTTTCAATGTTTAAAGGATTGAGACATAAACTTATTCTGAATTGAATTGATTTTTCCTATAATTTTACAATCAGAACAAAATGTAACATGCCAAAAATATGTATATATTTGGTTTTTATTTGTAACATACTGTAAAACAAACTTGCTTCTAGTTTGTTATTATTTATTTACTATCATACAATAACCATATAAAAACAAACATAAAAACCCATAAATTCTTATAACAAAAAGTTCCTAAATACATCTGTAATTTGAGAAGAAAGAAGTTCAGTTATGATTAGGTGACGTAAATATTGATACAGTGGATGTTTGGTCGAAGTGTCACGGCGCGTCGCTCCGGGCGTGACGACAGAGATTAGAATTGATCCAAGTAAGACGCCAGTGGAGCCCAACTCGACACCTATTCGTGTATACGTTATTGCCGTCTGAGCAATGCCACCCCTGAATTAAGTGGCGTACGCTCCGTCACTCGACTAGTGTTGTACGATTTCGAGAATGGATTTTATCGACAGTTTTGTTACTGATATTTTTTGTTCATAAATTGTATTTTGGTGATCTATGTTAGTAAAATATTACTTTGTTAATATTAAAATATGAATAGAATTTTACTGTTTAGAACGTACTCATAATATCTAATTAGCCATAGCACTCAAATATATTTTAAGAGAATGTAAAATACATGCTGATTTTTAATTTCGTACTTAGCAATAATTTTAATAATATTTTGTAATTTTGTATTCTACTATCGATATAATATGACGTATTTTATATACAGTATCTATTACAATTTAATGTACAAAAGTCAAATAAGATCAGGAATCACCCAATTAAAGAATACTTTTAAAACTTGTTTACAACTACATTATCCTTTTTGTGCATCTAATAGTTAATACGACGTTAAATAATAAAATAATCGGCAAACATCCCAATGAAGGCGCCGCAACAGGCTTGCGAATTATGACTATGGTATTGTTAATTCAGAATCGTCCCAAAATTTATTATGGGTCGACGGAACGAGACAAAACATACCATTTACACATACAAAAGTAAGAGACAGAAGACGGTTAAATGAGGGGGTGTCGTAAATAAATTTTTGTGCTTATGTTTCAAAGATCTTTAATCAAGTACTGCGGTGAGGTGAATTGAGCTTTGTTTTGTTTGTGTTAAATTCTATATTCTTTCGTTTTATGGAAGTTGAGGAACAATGTGGTAGTCTAGAAAGAGGAAATGGATTACGAGCGAGTGTCGGAAGCTTCTACCGTATTTAACGTAGATTACAATACTTTTTCGATATCATGTTTACATAAGTGTTGATTGTTTTGTTAATTAATTCCTTAATTACAGGTTTTATGTCATGTTATAAAAACCCATGGAATGTGTTTTATGTGCTCTACTTTCATCGGTTTTATGAACTTTTTAATTTTTTGGCAATTTAATTAACACCATGTATTTTGATTATAAAGTTATGCAGTATTAAGGTGTTGTAATAAAAGGCTGAAATTTTAATCTTCATTCATAACATTTTTGTAATTGTATAATTTTTTTATTTTTTTATGGGATAAGCCGATAAACGAGCAGACGGATCACCTGATGGTAAGCAATCGGCGTCGCCCATGGACACCTAGAACACCAGAGGTGTTACAAGTGCGTTACCGGCCTTTTGGGATTAGGAATTTGAGGATTGTTGGGGATTCAGGGATTGTAGAAAGGGAAGGGGGGGGGGGGTATTTGGGCATACGATAACACAACGTTGTTTCACTTCGGTCTTCTGTGAGGCCGTGGTATCACTCCGGTCGAGCTGGCCCATTCGTGCCGAAGCATGACTCTCCCACACTTAAAATAAATAATTTTTATTAACAGAAATATAATATCTTATTTTTATTTTTGTCTAAACATGCAAACACTGCATAACCAAAGGAAAAACGCCTGAAACGTGTAAATATTAGGTAATAATACATCTTTACGTAAATACTTGTTTACAAAACTAACTTCATTTTTACAAGCTTGAACTTGAGACCCCTCATTGACGAGCTCACAAGGGACGATTGTCAATGCCGATAGCTGCTAATCATAATCGAATCTCGACTCGATTCAAATGAAGCGATCAATCAGAGAACAGCTCGCGGTGACATGTCTGCGCAAAAAACTCCGTCTTTGTCCTAACCAAGTTTTTTAAGCGGAGTGATTATGTTAAATTAAACCTTAGTATAGAAAGATTTAGCTTTTGTTTGCAAGAACAAAATTAACATTTTTAATATTATTCTAATAACATTAATTTAGAATCAGCAATTATATAGAGAGGACTATGTAAGTTACGTGACTTGATAACTTAGAAAAGTCAAATAGACAAATAAAAATATTTTGGAGCAGAGTAACTATGTCTTATGACATAGGTCCTAATGAAGTTTTGTTGGAATTTGAACCGATTATATTATTGAAACAGGTTTCCTATAAATAAGCCATATTAGAAAGTATTAAAATAAATAAATCATTACCTATACAAATGACCGGAAATAAGAAAGAAGGATAAGATATGATGCACTACAAGAAAACGTTAAGATGAATGACATCTGATAAAGGAAAATGGAAATAGAAAAATAAGGAGAAATAGAAAAATACTTGTTGATTCATAAACCATAAACGGCAAGAAAAGAAGGAAGACCAAACAACCAAAAGAATTTTAAACTAAACGAACCAGAAACGGTAATACTTTATTCAATAGAAGAACATTCACACTACGTAAGAACAATGGTGGCTGCAATGCTAACTATTTTCATTGCATTTCCGCATTAATCAAGGCGTCATCTCAATTAGCCAGGCAGCTTATAAAGCGCTTTAATCATCGCTTTATAAGGTATAATGAATCTATTCGAGCTTTAATCGAGGTGAAGAGTATTTCGCTTTTGTTTTTTTATTAACATGTCTATTTTAATCTGTGTTCATTTCATTCAATCGTTCATTCATTTGTTTATTTATCTGTAGTTCGATGGTTGATGTGATTGGTATTATTTTTGTTTATTATGTGATGATATTTATTTTTATTTATTTGATCAATAGGTTCAAAGGCTGCTTGTAATTGTTTTTGCTGTACAGTGTATACTTCTTCATTGTCATTGAGAGCAGTTGCATTGCATCCAGAATTTATGCTAAATAGTATCTTAACTTCGATTTATATATTATTTAGTGATGACAATATCTAACAACATTTGCTTATTTGGACAATTGTTTATCTTTTGATTCCAATGTAAATTTTTAATAAATTATTTGGACCTTTTTTATGGCTTAATCGGGTAAACGAGCAGACGGATCACCTGATGGTAAGCAATCGGCGTCGCCGTGGACACCTGGAACACCAGAGGCGTTACAAGTGCGTTACCGGCCTTTTGGGGATTAGGAGTTTGAGGATCGTTGGGGATTCAGGAATTGGGGAGATTGGGGAAGGGACGTTAATTGGGCCTCCAGTAACTTCACTCACACGACGAAACACAACGCAAGCGTTGCTTCACGTCGGTTTTCTGTGAGGCCGTGGTATCACTCTGGTCGAGTCGGCCCATTCGGGCCGAAGCATGGCTGTCCCACACTTTTGCAAACAGACTGTGCAGTGGGATAGTAATAAGCTGATTAAGTTGAACATTTTGTATTGAAATATAAAGCTTTTCTTTTAAACGGCAAAGACTATAGGTAAGTACATTGTCGTCGTTGCCACCATTAATTTTTGAATCACCCCAAACTGTAACAGAAGTGCAATCACATACGAAGACTCAATTTCCAAGTGACTCACTTTATTTCCATAATTTGTAATTTGATGTAGGTACAAGAATTAGCATATCGCTCCTATGAATAAAATGTCTAAAAATAGGTGATCGTATTTACATTTTTCCAGAATAATCTTGTCTAGTAACGGTTTTGTTGGTGACAAAATACTTACTATCAAGTAAGTTAAAATGTCATCGACATTTAAAATATACCGTAATATCCATTGTTAAAAAATTGTTTGTATGTAAAAGTGTAATGTACTGCAAGAAATAATATAAAACCTCAAAAATAAAATAAAATATTTTTTATTAACAAAATTTGCATATTGGCATAAATTACATGGAACTAGATAAAATGTAACGTTTTTTGCAGTTACCGTTATGGGTTAAAGTCTACTGTAATTCAAAAATATATTGTTAACAAAAGTATTTAGAACATTATTCTTTAAATTACAAAGAAAACAATTTTCTATAATTATCGGATAACACTGATTTTCACCATAGTTGTACCGGGTATATTTGATAAAAATAAATCATGCAAGTCAAGTATTTATTTACAATTTATACAACATTTTGGTACACTGTTCACAAAATCTTCTTAAAGTATGGTAACAACTAGAATTTAAAATTTCAACAAGCACGCCTCAGAAAAGGTTGAAAGTAATCATTGATGAGAGGCCATCGATAAGCAAAACAAAGTTCATAGATTTTCTAGACTAAGGAAATGACAACTTATCTATTGCATATGGCTATATAAAATGCACCATACGATTCTTAATAAGTTTAATTGGTAAATACTGTGTGAAAAAGGATTAGGACACAAAATTAGACGTCTCATGCTGAAGCTATAAATATGCCCGTAAAGAAGATTTTGTAACACAATAGACCATTTCAATTCATACATCCCTACATAATAATGTCATATTTTTTTCAGATCATAAAATTATCCAGTAGTCCTTAGAATTTCTAATTTTTGCCTTATCCATGGACTGTATTCAGAAACCCTTGTATATACTCCAGGATAATTAGTATTGGCGCAACCTTCACCCCAAGAGACGATACCGACTAGAACATTTCTTACAACTAAAGGTCCACCGGAGTCACCTTGACATGCGTCTTTTGGTGGGTTACTGCCATTGGCACACACCATTCCTGCCCCGATAGTTGCAATGCGTAGATAAGCACGGGCGCATACACTCTGAGAAACGATGCTGACTCGAGCTGCCTTCAGCACTTCAGATGATGAACCTTCGTACTGTAAAAAAATACATGTTTATTAAAATTGAAAAGGAATATGAACTATTTCAGCGAATCAAGTAGCATGCGTGATATATCTAACAAATATTTTGACAATCGCATTTATCGCTATCTTGATTTGCCAGTGATAAAACAAATCTTACCGACGTCGTCCCAAATCCTGACACGACAGCTCCGGTACCAGCAGGCAGAACATAGTGTTCTGAAGCAAAAGATACAGGAGCAACGGATTCGCTAAACTCTATGACTTTTGAAGTGGCTAATAATGCAATGTCATTTTCTAAAGTTGTAGCTGAAAAGGCTTCATGCGAGTAAATAGCCGACACATCGTAGGTCTTTCCACCATTAAGACGGGACGAAGTACCGACTACCACTCGTAATAGTGATGGTTGTGATACGAATCTGAAAATAAGGAGAAATCATATTGAAATCTGTCCCTAACTTGTTTTTTGAGAGATCAATGCTAACTGTAAAGAAGAAAGTCGGTTGATAAGTATATCGTAAGATTCGATTATTAGTTCAGGAAATACTTGTTAACTAACATGAAATTTTGTCAATACAACCTTTTACTATTATTAAAGGTGTACTCACGCTTCAACACAATGAGCAGCAGTTAAAAGTCCTCTGTTTGTAATTATGACTGCACCACAAGAGTGTGCCCATCCTGACAGAACTCTTCTTCTAAGAGCTGCCTGGTATGGAACTTCTGTTATATCAACTGCTTCTCCATTCACAATCCTTGCGAGGTCTGTATTGTCAGGCACCGGGATTGTGATCACACAGCTGAGAGAAACTGTAATAGAAGATTTTTTGATTAAAAGCACCAACAAAAACTGTTCAGTGGAAACTATTTATTGGTTTCCAGAAATGAATTTGATGATTATTTTTTAGTATCAGTCAATGGAAAATTATAAAACATAAAAAAAAATATTAGGTCGACGCACACTAACCTAAAATTAAAATGATTTCCACTGACAACTGCATTTTAGCAAACAAAAGAATGGACTAAACATCTCAATCGAAGTACCAAATGCCTCAGTATAAGTAAGATACTTTATCTCATGTTGTCAAGATCAAGTGTTGTTTATCTTGGGACTTACCAAATTATTTATCTATTGCCACCTAGGTATAGAAATTTCACGTCGCGTTCAGTTACTGATACATATAATTTTCCTGCTTGTGAGCGAATGTTTTAGTTTCATTATGCATTATTGAGGTTGATAGATTTGCAATCTTGAGTTGATGGCTTTTTCATATTAATATTAATACTAGCATCGCTTTTAATATTAGCAACACCAACGTACAAACCATTTGTTTTCGGTGTAACAATACTCAGTTATGGGCATTCCCGTTCAGTTATCATGAGCTTTATCAATATCGATAAAACGATAACCGTAATATGAATTCATATTACTGGCTGTATTCCATTTTATAGAAAAACCCTGTTTTGAGTTGTGGATTATTTTTCCACTTGTGAACTTCTGTTTCTCTTAAAAATGGGTTTGCACGTAAAAAATTATCCTTTGTTATATAACTTGATGATGAAGTTTTGTTTTTATAGGTTCCTTATTAGTAAGTTGAACCTCTTACTATGTATATGAAGATCCGATTGGTTAATCTCTTATAATAATATGAGGCTATAGTAACAATAATATATGAAAATTACTATCATCTTACCTTCGCAGAATAAAACAATTCGTATTACTTCACTTGAATTCTCTATTTACGTCAGGCTCACGACATTACCAAATAATACCTTTTCTATGTTTAGATATTTGGATCAGAATTCTACAGAAAAAGATGTTGGCCTTCGCTAAAATTAGTCATGGAGCCTAGCGTTGCCGTCACATATACATCACTTCCCGGCCATATTTGCACATCTATAGAAGAACATAGGTTCGCTCCTGCTGTCTTGTCTTTAGTTAAAGCCTTAATTTTGTATAATAAGTTGGGTTCGGCCTTCAATTCTTCGTAAGCATACCTTTTCGATTCCTTATTGGTGGGACTGATAACTTTCATTATGTGTGTTAGTTGTTATATAGTTGTTAATATCATTTTCTGTGTATGGTAGTACTTCAATCACACATTTATAATCATTCGTAAAATGAGGCAAGTGTGTACCAGCTGAAAATAATATAGATCTCAAATATAAAATATTTAGTTTTGGTTCGATTTTTGACATTAGTTATAATACGAATTCTCTCTCACCGGAATCAATCCAGAAATTTTAGATTTAAATTGGCTGTTAATTTAGGCCGTCAGATGTGTTTACAACAAAAATGACGCGTGATGAAGTAAAATCGATAATAATCGAAGTATTTAATTACACAAGCACATCTGAAACAGAACTCATATAACCACCATCGACCATTTAATTAGCCATGATATTCTCAGGACGAGTCGATCATAACGAGGTGCAAATTATATTAACAGCTTTTTAATACAGAACTGCCGTTGCGGCCGAGGTTTTATCGGCAATCAAACCGTTGTCCCGAACTCTGCAAATTTATGGACACATTAAACCATCGGAAATTGCTCAGTAATGAGCTTCATTGAGCATAACTTTACAATATCGTTTAGAGGTAACATATTCGTTATTACACTGCTCATACGTTCACAGTTTTTAACTTCATTCATGAAATTCAATTCTACATAACGTCCGTCTTCTTTGATAGTAAGGAAGCTAGGACATTTAGATAACTATCAATCATTTATTTGTGGTCTGTGTTAGTCCTATTTTATAATTACAGGTGAGCTATTGTTTATAGGTACTAGTCGTAATCGGTACACTTTATTTTCTTGACAATAAAATTGGATATTTCGTTATTGTGTTGTTATTCTAAGTACACACTGTGAATTAAACACACACGTCCAAACATTGTAAACAAACCAGTTCATTAAAAATAGATTCTGATGTTCTTATAAAATAATAAATGTCTAAACTTCATCTCGACATGAATAGCGCGTTATAATTACTTAGTAAACGATCCGCCTCAAATTGAGTAGCACAACACAAACGAACCGAACTCACGCGTGGCGCCATCTGTTATCGATTTAATGTACGATTTATATCGCAATTATTACGAAAACCCATGTAAGTATAATTTTAATGTTGTATTTTACTGTAGATTAATTATTCGATCCATTCGATATTGCTTTAGGCCCGTTGTTCGGCCATTAATTGGGTGAATCAACCACGAAACGCGTAAAGTGAGCGTAATAAGCCTATTGCCTAAGATAAGATAGTGTTCATTAAATCAATAGAAAGCCGTGTGCATGGGAGTGTATGGCGGTGTATGGGATCGGTACGTCCACCCACGCGGGGCGCATTCCGGTGGGAGCCAAAGACCTCTCGCTTCCTGGATGGCACACAAATGAATAGTAGATCAATTTTACCGATCTCTAAAACTGGATTGTTTTAATGTGGCTTGTTTTGTACGTTATGTGGGGGACACTTGAGGTAACGTCATTGGGAAAGTGTGCTCTTTAGACGTCGATAGAGATGTGTTATATGGATGCACTATACACGTGTCAGCGGCCCTTGACTGAAGGTCAACATTGTCAAGCCTTAAGTCACAACTCGTAATTATTTTATTGCTGTAACCAACGTCCTTCCGTGTTCAGCTTAACAATAGATGCTATGATTAGAAAAGACCACTTCAGCTAGTTTTTTAGCACATATCATGTGGTCAAAACAGGTAATATTCTATTAACAGCACCTATGATTTGCAGAGACCGGACTTACCTAATTATAGACATGATTTTTGTGTAACATATTTTACTATTTACCATTTGTTCAACACCGCAAAATGATGAAGTCACTATATCCGGATTGAGGACCGCGGATATTCCCCAGAATAATTGACTGTCGATTAAATATTGTAGAACCTGTGTAGGTACTAATTAACCCAATGACATTAGTATAAATGTGCTGTTATTTCATTTACGAAAGGGTGGCAGGTTTAAAGTTACCCGTTATAATCTTAACGATCATTCTAGTATGTTAAGTGATACGGAATTATCTAATTAAGGAAACAAGTACATGTTTAAATACTTGTATGTTGACGTCAGAAGTTTAGTTGTAATGAGAAATAGAAAACAGGTGATTAAAACAATGCTGTAAGTATGTATATGTTGCTATGTGCATGCGCGTTTCGCGTCTTGCCCGTTCAACCGTGAAGGACGCTCGCGCGCCGCGATTTGACGGCCGACTTCTAACCGCTGCTCAGTTATGACGTGTGTCGAGTTAGAAGAGGTAGCGGGTTTAATTAACTAAATATCTTTATTTCATTGATAACAATTAATCCAGATAATAATTTTATATATTTCTTTGAACAATAAGCATTTATATCGAATACGAGTATTCATAATTATCCGAAGGTTTTTTATAGTTATTCAACAATTTTATAAGTATTGAGTTATTCTTAGTATTTTGATCGAGGTGTCCAAACATTAAATTCATATTATAATAATAGGCAATCCAAAAGCGTTAGGTCCACGGACAATCACTGCAAAAACTTGTCCAATGTCTTGACGTTAGCAAATGCTATACAATCTTAGTTCTTTCCAGCGTTTCATGCGCAAATTCTGACGCAGTAGCCCGTATTAAGTTCATTAGGTATTTCGTTAAGAGTAAACAGTACAATGATTTTGTCCGTCTAAAAAAAACATCTACTCGCTGATCTCTTAAGAGCGATACCACAAGTAAACTCAGGTATCAGATGTCCAACAACTTGTTATTATTATCATTATTGCGACTGTTGGACGTTTTATTGACAGTTATTATGTTATTTTGACATATATAACTTGTTTCGGATTTATTTATTAATAACTTAAGATATTTAAATCTATCAACACGACTAGGTGAGAGTCGGCTTAAATTATTCACAAATCACAATATTTAGACCACACGAATATTTTACGATTGTATCTTTTGATTTTATGTGACTTTCATTACATCATAATTTCTTAAATCTTATTTATACTCTAGTAGGTATCGTATTCTAGACTTGTTTTCGATATATTTAAAGCCTAAAATACAGTGCAAGTCTATAAACATGTCCATAATAATATATCGTATATTAATAATATAAATCTTTGTTTAAAGCTTAGCACAAAATCCCATTAAATTACACATTTCAACAAAACATTATACGCGTAACAAAACACATGATAACTTTGGAACAGTAAAAACAATAATTGCGTCGTAGAAACTGAGCTAATCACCTGACCAATTACTGTACAACATTATGTAGGATCACGAAAGTACAGTTCGTCAACCTATTTAGTATGCAGGTAAGGAAATAAAGTTAAGTTTTGAATTAGTACAGAGACAGTAACCATTGCCATTGGTTGGAACCTAAGCCTACCAATACTAGATAGAAGTATTCAACAACTATACAAATTAGAATAGCAATAAGTAGAGTCTCTATTAACTGAATAAATCTTTATTTTCTTGCCTGCATACCAAAAGATCAAATGTCGAAAGTGGAACTGGAAAGGCCATACGCTCCAAAGGGGTTCCACCCATGTTCCCAAGTAAGCCTTGGGCTAGAAACCCCAGGGGAAAAGAAATCGTGGTCGTCCTCGCAAACCTGGCTTCCTACAGTGATGGAAGAAGCGGCATGGACGTCCTCTGCCCTATCTAGAGGACATAGAATTGAAGGACATAGGATTTAAGCGAAGGAAGTAGCAAATAACGTGGTTGACTGTACCTAGCATACAGTACATGACTTGAATATTTATATAACCTTTGTATGAAACGTAAGACTCAATGATATTGTCGCGGTCCACTGTATCTTCCGTGTAATTAACTGCCTCGTTATAGAGTTGTCATATTATAAACATTATTAGCATTGAGATTGGATTTCCCTTTTTTTTTGTATTTTTGTGGTGTTGTTACAAGTTTCGGTTTGGTTGAGTTGTTTAGTAATAAATGTTGGTTTTATATGTATTTGTTTATACTAGTTTAAATGGGCATTTCAAATTCAAATTTCATATTAAAAATTTGTAATTTTTTTACCATTTGCATT